GTTTGGACACATTCTAAAATTACTAGAATTTTTACTCACCCTCTCCATGTTTATGTTTTTGTAATTTTTTTAAACTTATTTTGTATGTATCCCTTAACTTAGTGCTGTAAATACACTGCCTTTTAACTGCTGTATGAGCTTTATAGTTGGTTGATCCACTGCTTTTTCTAACTGTCTGCCTTTGTCAGTAAGAACTTTTTTCTTTCCTATATTTCCTTATTCATTTTTCTGATCTTCTCAACTTAAAGAAGTCCTTATAACATTTTTCATAATATTGGTTTAGTGGCGAACATATCCTTTACCGTTTTCTTGTTTTGGAAAACTCTCTCTCCTTTGATTCTAAATGATAGCATTGCTGGGTAAAGTAACCCTGGTTGTAGGTCTTTTCTTTAATTACTTTAAATATTTTGTGCTAATCCTTTCTGGTTTATAATGTTTCTGTTGAAAAATTAGCTGACAGTCTTATGGGAGCTCCCTTGTAAGATTCTCTCTTTGTCTTGAACCTTTGGCATTTTAATTATGATGTGTCTTGCTGTGGGCTTCTTTGGGTTCATCTTTTTGGGGACTCTCTGTGTTTCCTGAGCTTGTCTCTTTCCTTCACCAGGTTAGGGAAGATTTCTGTCATTATTTTTTCAAATAGATTTTCAGTCTCTTCTCCTTCTGGTACCCCCATGATGTGAATGTTGTTACACTTCATATTGTTTCACAGGTCACTTAAAATATCCTCATTTAAAAAATTATTTTTGTTTTTGCTGTTTCAATTGGGTATTTTCTACTCTCTTGTCACTGATTCGATTCTATGCTTCATCTAATCTGTTGATTCCCCCTAGTGTATTCTTCATTTCAGTTATTATAGTCTTAATTTTTTACTGCTTTTTTTACGGCTTCTATGTCTTTGTTTAGGTTCTTACTGAGTTCATCTATTCTTCCCCTAAATTCATTAAGCACGCTTATAACCAGGGCTTTGACTCTGTATCTGGTAGATTGCTTGTCTCTATTTTAGTTCTTTTTCTAGAGTTTTGTCATTTTCTTTCATTTGGCACATGTTTCTTTGTCTCCTCATTTTGGCTGACACCCTCTGTTTGTTTCTGTGAAATAGGTAGATATGTTACATCTCCCAGCTTGGCAGAGTCACCATTATTCAGTAGGTGTCCTGTGATGTTCAATAGAGTAGTCTCACTGTTTACCTGAGCCAGGTGCTCCAGGAGTATCCCTTGTGTGTGTCCTCTTCCATTATAGTTGAGCCTTGATTGCTATTGGCACTTCAGTGGGTGGGATTGATCCTCATGCTGACTGGCTGTGTGGGCTAACGGTGACTACAGCAGACAAGCTGATACGGAGGGGCTGACCCCATGAAGCAGGAGTCCCTTTTGCTGGGCTCTGGTGCCTGCAGAGTTTGTTCTTTGGATATGCCATTTATAGAGCTGGTTGGATGGTGCTGTGGTGTGGTCTGAAGCTGGCCACCTGATGCGTTGGTTTTATAACTTCTGAGGAGGGGCTCCTGTGCAGGCCAAGGTCAGCTGCCATTTGTGCCCAGCTTGGGGCCACCTGGTGGGAGCTACCAAGTGATCTGCAGTTGGTTGCTGCTTGTGGTGTGTATGCTTGGGAGAGGCTATGCTGTGAAACAAGGTTGGCTGCCACTTGTGCTGGGACCCTTTGGTGGTCGCCCTGAGGACAACCGCTACTTGTGTTGGGCTTGTGGCTGCTTAAAGGTTAGTTCCAAGCCAACACTGGCGACAGCTTATGCTGGGCTTGGGGCCATGTGATACAAGTTAAGACCAGTCATCACTTGTGCCGGGCTTGTGGCCACTTAGCAAGAGGTATAGGGCAAGCTAAAGCTGACTGCTTCTTGTTTGGGGTTTGTGGGCCTTTGAGGAAAGTCCCTGGCATGAACTGAGGCAGGCTGCTCCTCTGGAAAAGCCACTGGAAGCAGCTTGAGCCAGACATGCTAGTTGGGTGGGGCGGAGTCTCAGAGAGACACCCTGGCCGGGTGAACAGTATTAGCCAGGTTATTGGAGAGCTCAAATTTGGCACTTACCAGCTAGCTGGGGGGAGGGCTCAACAAAGGAGCAATGGTACCTTCTAGTGCTTTAGTCCTTGGAGAGAGCTGCCCTGACCACTGTCCCTCCAGCTCTCACCCTGAATCTAGTCAATTCAGTTCCTCCTCATATGTCACTGGCACTTTTTGAGCTAGTGCTCCCGTGATGGAGCCCATAGTGAGTGAATGTGTGCACAAGTGAGTCCACGTGGTAGCCCCTCAAGAGGAATGCCTAGGATTCCAGCAGCCCTCCATCTCACTCAGATGCAATCCCTGCCTATTTTCATAGCCAGATGTTATGGGGACTCCTCTTCCTGGCTTTGGTTTCTCAGGCTGGGGAGCCCAGTGTGGAACTGGGCTCCCTTGTTCCTCATGGGGGACTTCCACAGCCGAGATATCCTTCTGGATTATTAATTGCCACATCGTTGGTGTGGAACCTGTCCATCCTATGTCTCATCGTGGCTTCTTTATATTCTTAGTTGTAGGCCTTCTGTTCAGCTAGTCTTCAGGTGGTTCTCGATGATGCTTGCTCTATAATTTAGCTGTAGTCTTGATGCAGTCGTGGGAGGAGGCAAGCACAGCATTTACCTACTCCACCACCTTCACTGGAAATTTCTTGAAACTTTGTTTCTTTATCACCTCAGAAGATTTATCCAGATTGTTTTGTGAGCCAAACTAACACTCACAATTGCACATCTTTTTGCCTAGGCATTTGCAATGCCACAATGTTCCTTTAGTAAAAAACATCTAAGTAGCTTCATTTTCACCAGCAATTTTTTCGTGTTAAGTAAAAGAAAGGACAATAGTTGACTTTGATTGTACTTGAGAAGCTCTTTCTTTCAAGCCCTCTTGGCTTCTCTCATATGTGATCATTTTTCCTTTTTAAATGAGAAGTGATAGACTCAGAATTGAAAGAAGTTAAAAGTAATTTAATCCAAACGTCTACTGTTGCATGAATCCTCTCTACAACATCTTCCATGAGGCCCTCCATTAACAGCTGTTCTCCAGGGCAAAAGAGATGCACCAAAAAATAGGAAGTAAAACATACTATATGTGGGATAACACCTTGTAACTAAAACAAACTAGAGGGTCTAGATGTGGTCTTTGCAAACTCATGAGTCACCAGTCTCTTAGCCATCTCATTCCATTACACGATGAAGAAATTATGAAGCAGAGACTTAATTTTAAGTTGAGAATATGGCCCAACAGGGAGGGAAGCAATATTTGTAAAACAATTTACTATGAGAATCTAGATCACATCGTCTTGACCTTTTCATTTCAATGATCAAAATAGTTAAAAGCTGTTTTTAAAGGTCTACCTCATATGAAAAGTACAGGAAACTTTTATCATTATTACTTAAAAATAAATTATCTAGTGTAAAGTCCAGGTTAAGAGATTAGGTCTGGAATGATACTGTGTGGTTTGAACCCTGGCTTCTGCATTAATTAGCTATATGACCTTGGGACATCGCCTAACCTTTGGAAGTTTGGGTTTACTCATCTATAAAAAGAAATATTATCTTCTTCACTAGGGTATGGATCGGATGAAATAAGCTCATTCACGTGAGGCACTTTGTTCAGTATATGGCACATGTTTTAAGTCCTCAATAAACGTTAGCTTCCTCATGTCCACTGAAGTAATAAAAACATAACATTTAGTTGTTGAGAATTCACTATTTTTTAAAATAATTGCTTTAGAATCTCAAACTGTCAGTGACTTTCCATGAGTGCTGTTTTGAACTAAGAATTCACAGTGTTAGGAAAAAATATTTCTGGGCTATAAATAGCTTATAAGAAAATATCACATAGCCTGAATGTTTTTGATAAATCAACATGGATTATATCAAATGCTAGCTAACTGAATAATAGTTACTCTAATTAACTGATCATGTACTCTGTGGATTTTGCAATAGTGTGCAGGTATTTAGTCAACAAGTTAGAGTCACAAATAATTTGATAAAATACAAAGTTATTATTTATAGTATGGAAAACTTGGTTACTTCTGTATCTGAATAATCACTACTGGGTAGACTGAATTATAAATCTGATGGGATTATAAATAATCCTTTTGAATGTGTCCAGAAAGGTTGTTAAAAAACTGTTATTGTCAATTAACCAGTATCTAGTTTTATGTCACTTTTTTTTTTTTATAAAACATCCCCTCGTACCATTATTCAATTCTAATCAATTGTCTGCTTTCCCTCAGAGCAAAAAGCAAAAAAAGACAGACCTTTCACTAGCTGATTCTACAAAGGAAATAATTTAAAGTCTGCCAGTCCAGAATATCCACTGAGTTAGTTAGGAAATCAAAGAATAACACTGTTTTTCACTTTCTTTGCATTTCCCAGAAGTCAGCATTGCGAACTGAAATATATTGTTGTCTAAAAAGTATTCTTTTCATATCGACCCATGGAATATACCATGCTAATTTGAGCACTTAACAAATTATTTATGGTAACACCAATTAAATAGGCCCGTATAAAGATTTATCTTCTATTAGAAAACTTTAGTGATGCAGAAATCAGTGAGATCAAAATAATTACTTTCATGAAAATGAAAGAATCTGTTCAAAAATTTTATTGTTATATATAAAATCAAAAATATATATATTTGAAAACCTATTCAAATTACTATCCATGAGCAGAATAGAGGTTGGGGTCACCTTCCTAGCATTTTTAATATGCACCCTTGGGGGGTTTCACAATACAGCCAGAATCTCATGAAGGAGCGGTGTTTGTTTATTTGATAACACAACAGTTTGGGGCAATCTAGAGCTGTTATTCTGAATGAAATAAAAAAATGTGCTATGAAAAAATGAATTAGGGAGGAAATGGGGGGGAAATGTGCTGTGGAAAACTATACTGTCTCATTCTACAGCCACCACTTAAAGATGTCAGTGCACACACTCCATGCTTTGTTAATTCCGAGACATTTTGCTTTCCCCAGCTGGCTGTCCACGTACCCGAGTTGTTTTCACTTTATTCCCAGAGGAGCAGCTCCATCCTTTCCGATCGGGAAGCACTTTACATTCCTCTCCCTCAAGACATGGCTGCATGTGGCACCACCATTTCTGTTCCACGATGGAAGCTGCAGGAGACAGAAAACGCATTTAATGTCTCCCATTTGGGTTTGTAAATCCTCTGGGCACACATTTAAAGAAAAAGCCACCAATTTTCCCCACCACTGGGTAGACTGGGTTTTGAGGCCTGCTGCTTTTTTTTTGTCCAATGGGGCTAAATCTAGATCTTCTGAGTAGAATAATTATTTTAATTTTTAATTTTACTTTATTGTGGTAAGAATACTTTACATGAGATCTACCCTCTTGAGTTTTTAATTGCGCAATACAGTATTGTAAACTATAAGCACATCATTGAAGGATTTTTTATGTGAATATGTATGCTTCATGAAAACTAATATATTTGAAAGAAACTAAGTATGTATGCATGCACTGATTTATATAAACAGATAAGCAAACAAGTCCCTGGCCAATTTAAAGTCAATATTTTTGAGTAAATGTTATCTTTCTCACAGTAGGCTGAAAATCAGAGGGCATTAGAGTTAATGCAATTTTTTAAATTTATTTTTTTACTGTGGGCAGTAACCATCAACCCAAGAAATGCACCATGCTAATATGAGCACTTAAATTATTATTTATGGTAACACCAATTAAGTGGCCCATATGAAAATTTATATCCTTTTGTAATTAGGTAAATACTCAGGTAAAGAAATTATTATAGCCCAGCCAGGCATGGCTCAGTGGTTGAGCGTCGATGTAGGACCCTGGCGATCGGGGTTCGATTCCCGGTCAGGGCACATGCCCGGGTTGCGGACTCGATCCCCAGTCGGGGGAGTGCAGGAGGCAGCCGATCAATGATTCTCTCATCATTGATGTTTCTATCTCTCTCTCCCCCCTCCTTTCCTCTCTCTAAAATCAATAAACATATATTTTTTTAAAAAAGAAACTATTATAAAAATGCATCAAAATATTAACCAACATTTTATGTAAATTCTATCCACAACTAAACATTCTCTCATATGGTATGGTGTTAAGAATGAATAAATAAAGAACCATCCATGAGTTTAGAAAGTCATGCTATTTAATCATCTGTTTTCATCTTTTCTTTCCCAATTATTTAGACACACAGACAGACATCCTCAGCTGGCAAATCAATATTTCATGGTATCAAAGAAGCACATGAACTTGTTGGAACCGCATTATAATACCTTTTGTTACTAAACTACTAAGAAGTGATGAAGGGGAGAATCCCCTTCTTACTATCCATCAGCACAATTTACTAAGATCTTAGACCTCCTTTCAAATAATCTCATGTCAACCCCATAATTTATAGTGTGGTCCCTCAGAAGGGCCCCGTCAAACAGCATTATAGTGGGGTTCCCGTTCTAAGCAGTCCCCCGCAAGGAGCAATGTAAAAGTCGCACCATCCACGCAGGATGGAGCAGCTCGAGTGGTGCCTGCCACCTGCCCGGGGAAGCAGGAGCACTTGACAGTTTGTGACCGTTCTTCTATCTTGTTCTTGTTACAGCATCTGTGGAGTGCCACCACCTCGCAAGTGCCCGTTTTAACATGGTGAGCTGTACAAAAACAAAAGATGAGACAACATTGAGAAAGCTTGGGACACTTCCTCCCTCTTTACAATTAGAAGTGCATTAAATATAGCTCTATAAGGGACCCACCATGCATGAAACTAGAACTGCAATGACGCTGACTCCATAATGCAGTCGATTTCTTTTCTAAAGGACCATTTGTGTCGGTGAATGCTTGGTGAGGCAGGAACAATTAGTGACTAGATTAAAATAAGCTGTTAGAAGAGTCTGAAATACAGAGGCAATACATGGTGCCTTCAAAAATGTGTTAATTTGCATGTAGCTGCTTTTTACACCTTTTTGTTCAACATGTTAAAGTAAAGGAAACCCCTGGACAAGGTGTGCTCCAATGGGCCGAGGGTTGATATAAAGGTTATGTTCTGGGGGTGAGTGTAAGGTCAGGCAGAATACCAATTTTGAAGAAGCAATGAAGGGGAGAATCCCCTCCTTATTATCCATCTGCACAATTTCCCTGGAAATGAACTAATAGGTTGATTCTTGAAATTGTTACTATTGTCCCAAAAGTTCCAGCCAGTTTCAGGATCCAAAAATCATTTCTTCCAGTTTTGCCTGAGGGGTCAACTGCCACCAAATGGCACCAAGTGCAGCCAGAACATGGGTGGATTTATATCTAGCCTAGAAACCCAGTCCAAAAAGCTGTGAGGTTCCCTGCCCATTTCATCCACCTTGCAGTAAGGCTACAAAGGTAAAATTTTTAGGTGATTGAAATGTGTGGACCTGACATCACATTATGATAAGGTTCTAATTTGCTGTCAGCAGTTTTTTTCCAGCATTTCTTCTTCAAAGTATTAACCCTACTGTGAAACGATAAAACAAAAGTTTCATCTGCTAAAAATAAAAATAGCTCAGAATCAAACATTTGTTGAAATACTATAAAACTGATTGTTATGAAAACCGAAATTTAAATAGAAAAAGTAGAGATCTGAAGTTGTTTAATGTTATAAACATATTGAGTCCCATTGTAAATGAGATAACCACATTATGCTTCTATGATATTAATCTTCCCCTGGGAGATGAACCACTGTGCAATTACTCTGGTTAGATAGCTTGTTTAGATTTTTCTTGTGTGAGAGAGCAAATCACACATAGCGTCCACCTCATACCTCCATGTGAGATCAAGAAACTCGGGTATGACATGTAGCTTTGACAGGTGATCCTCAAAAGAACTCTCAAGAAGCAAATACCATTTCCAAGGTCACAAAGATTTTTCTGCTATTGTAGATACAAATGGGGATTTTTCTGTGTTTGATTGAAACACAATGCTATCTCTACAAAAAGCTAAAAACTTAAGAGCCACACTACTGTTACTATCCTCTCATGCTCTGGAAAATACTTTCTCAGCTAACGATGATTCTATTTGTTATACTTTTTTGTTATGCAAGTTATCATACTGTTTTCTGTACTGAGTAACATTTGAATGGAGTCAATACCACACATCAGGCAGGGCTCTAAGTCCTGGGGATGCAGCTGTGAATGAGAGGAACATAGACTTGCCCTCAAAGAGCTCATAGTCCTCTGGAGAAAACAAATAACAATGCCTATGTTAATGATTCCGTAGGACAATATTAGATTTTTAAGTGCCTTGAATGAAATGCGGTATGTTATTGAGAGTGACTAAGCAGGGAGAGAATGTGTATTTAGCAAGAGTCTCAAGGAAGCCCTCTAAGGAGGTACCTGAGCAATGACCTGAGTGAGAAGGAGGCATCTATTATGAAGATCTAAGAAAGGAAGAGCATTCCGAAGAGAAGGAACTGCAGTGACAAGGTGCTGAAATGGGGAAAAGCATGGTATGTTCTCAGGATAGCCAAGATCAGTGTGGTTGAGCAATTGAGAGGTCAAGGAAAATGTGTAAGAAATGTAGGAAGATCGCCCTGCCTGTGTGGCTCAGTGGTTGAGCGCTGACCTATGAACCAGAAGGTCACAGCTCAATTCCTGGTCAGGGCACATGCCTGGGTTGTGGGCTCAGTACCCAGAAGGGGGAGTGCAGGAGGCAGCCGATCAATGACTCTCTCTCATCATTGATATTTCCATCTCCCTCTCCCTTCCTCTCTCTTAAATCAATAAAAACATATTTAAAAAAGAAAAAGAAGTGTAGGAAGATCATGTAGGGGCTGGTATGCCACAGTAAGGAGATGGGATTTTACTTTCATTGCAAGGGGAAGTATTTGGGTAGAAATAGTATGATCTCATTAACACTTTAGACATTTGCTCAGGCTTCTCGTTAGAGAAAGTATTGAAGAAAGCAAGAGTAGAATCAGGGAAACCAATTATGAAGAGGTTGCATGAGTCTCAGTGATAAAAGATGGAACTTAGATTGGACTAACAGCAGCAGACTCGCAGAGAAGTAGCAGGTTAGGGGTATTTCGGTGTAGAGTTGGTTTGACTTGCTAACGGACAGGATGTGAGCTGTGAGGCAAAGAGGAATTAAAGATTACTCGTAAGCTTGTCCTGAGCAATGAGGTTGGTGGTGCTGGCAGGTAGCGAAGTCTTGGGGAATTTGGCAAAATATGCGTTGGGCTAGAATATCTATAGCTCTCTTTTCTCTGTGTTAAATGCAAGATCCTTATAAGACAGTCGAGTAGAGATATAAATCCTGCAGCATCATTTATGAAATAGAGCTTAGGGAAGGAATCTGGCTGCAGATACACACTCGAGATCTAAACCAATAGGTGATATTTCAAGCTACAGATGGAACCTAATTACCATGGAAAGGCTACCAACAAAGAAGAGAAGGGAAAGAACATCCAAAACCTAGATCTGCAATGAGGGAAGCGGCAAAAAAAAAAAAAAAAGACTGATAAAGACCAGAACGTAAGGAGCGGGAAAAAGAACCCAAAATAAAGACATGGAAACCCAAGAATAAAATGTTTCAATGAGGAGAGATTGATCAGCTGTGTCAGAGGCTGCTGAAAGGTTCAACAAATGAAGAGAAATCATCGTCCCTTAAAAAAGTAGTATGAGGTAGTGGTTAAGAACATAGACTCCAGCCCGGCCAGCATGGCTCAGCGGTTGAGCACCAACCCAGCATCCAGGAGATTGCAGCTCGATTCCTGTTCGATTCCCAGTCAGGGCACATGCCTGGGTTGTGGGCTCGATCCCCAGTTGGGGGCGTGCAGGAGGCAGCTGATCAATGACTGTCTCATCATTGATGTTTCTCTCTCTCTCCCCCGCCCTTCCTCTCTCTGAAATCAATAAAGATATATATATATATATATATATATATATATAT